ATCTTTTATGTAACTTTTAATAATATATAATTTGTTCAAATTCATATGACAATGATAAGATTTCAAGAGTCAACGCAATAAAAATTTAAATTTTTTAAAAAGTTGTACCTCTAATATATTTTGTAGCTAAAATATACTCTCTCCGTCCACTTGTATTTGTCATGTTGCGTTTTTTGAAAGTCCATTTGACTAATTTTCAAAGTTAAATCAGATTGTATTAATTCGATAATTAAAAAAAAAAAGCACAATCTATACAAAAAGTACTGTAAATTGCTATTTTTTGCGTATGAATATGATGAAAAAACACATTGTAAAATATTAGTTAAAATTCTTATAGTTTGACTCTAAAAAGGAAATCATAACAATTAAAAGTGCATAGAGAGAGTAATAAATAGGTAATTAAATTTCAAGAAGTTTAAAATAAAAGGTTGAAAAAAAGAATTAGATAGACAACATTTATTGAAAATTGAAAACATATAAATAATAAATGGGCCCAAATGAGGTCAAACTTTTCGACTAATAAAGTAGTAGGTAATTAATGGTGTTAAATTGTCCAATAATATAAATTTTAAAGGTACAACCATAAAAAAAGAATGTACAACACTATTTAAACACATATCATCCAACACTTGTCATGTGCTAAATAATAGATATTCCCACTTATTATATATAGTAATATACACAAATTTAGCTAATAGATGTGCATGCTACATTTTCGTCTAGTAGTAATTTTTATATTATCAAATCAGTTAAATGGCGACTGCTTATGTAATTACCTTCATGATAAGTGGAACTAATATAAATTAAAATATAATTCAAATAGTTTCTTATAACACGTCTTTGTTTTATTTCTTAATAGTATAAATAAAATAAATATACCATAAAAGATGTGTATCCCCCAATTTGTTAATCTATCCAATCTCGATCAATGTTTTGTTTTAATCGCTAAAATAATCAATTCTTGATATATTAGTTAGTTCTGTTGATGCATTAATGAAATAAAATACTTTGATTTTGGAGCTATTAGGCCTATTTGTTTTGTTTATTAGAAAAGAATCTAAAAAAATAAAATCGAATATAGTAATTTCATTCTTAACTATTTGATAAGGAGGGGGCAGATGTGGTAGGTATAATGCCAACGAAATGGGGTAACCAGAAAGCGAAATTTTAATTGGATTTAAAAATGTATAATACCGACATTTTTTTAAAAATATAGTGAAGTACGTACAATTCTCTTTTAAATTTGTCAAAAAATATTACATTTCTATATTTCAAAATAATTTAACTTTAAAAAATAATGAAGTCTCAAAGTGAAGTTTGAAGCGGTAAAGTGCACACAGATCTAGGTTGTTTCCAATAGACTCTGGACTTAAAATAAAATATTTTTGAACAGTTTGAAAAAGGAAATACAAAAATGAAAATAATAGCAATAACAAAATAATGATTTATGTTAATTCGCTCTGCTCGCAGAGCGGTATACCGAAATAGAGAAGCGACAGAGCCGCGCTCCTTTAATATGATGAGAAGTGCCGCCCGTTTTCATTTCATGGAAGTCCCCGGCAGAGAAAAGGGGACTTAACATAAATGTAGCCACTGGAGTCATTCTAAAAAGGGAGAAATAAAAATACACTTTCTTTTTTTCCTAAGCATCCTGCCTATTCCTTAACAGAGAGCACCAATAGAATATATATACATTGGAAATTTGGAATAAAGGCAACAAAATAATGCGATTACTAAATAATAAAAAACACATGTCACATGATGTGATAATCGAAATTGAAGAACAGAAACTACGAGGACTAGTAAAAAAAAGTTCAAATATGACACACAAGTCTATCTCTCTCGTATAAAAACGAAAACGTCGCATTATCAATTAAAAGCCTTCGAACCCCTTATCTAAGATAATATTATAAATTCAAGATACACCATATTCTATCTAATTATCCCTTTATTACTTCTTCGATCTGCCTCTGCCCTGATACCAACCTACATCTACATTACAAATATAAACAAACGTAAAATGTGTACATTCCTTCCTTAAAAGTTCTTTTTGTCATGTCTTTATGAGTCATTCCTCACTTTTTCTACTAATTTTTACCCTTTTACATCTTAAACAAGTATGTATATATGGTTTGATTTCAAGAAAGTTATAAATTTGTGCTACTTTGGTCTTCACAGTTCAACAAGCAATGCAACATTAGGTAATTAAATCTTTCAGTAATTAATCTCTTTATATATCTTTCTTCCATTTCAGCAAACTATTTTCTTGATCTTGAATTAAAGCCCGGCCCCTTTATCAATGGCGACAAAATCTAGTTTTATTTACTGATTTATAGCTAAAGATCACATTTTTAGTGATCAAGTTTTCTAATTATTCACATTACTCATTTGCTTAAACATTTGGCTGGATATAGCTGGTACGAGGAGAGGTAGAGGTAGACCGAATAAAGTATTGGGAGAGGTGATTAGACAGGATATGACGCAACTCTAGATTACTGAGTATATGACCTTAGATAGGAGGGTGTGGATGTCGCATATTAGGGTAGAATGTTAGTACGTAGGTATGGAGTGTTGTCTTGATTTTTGAGGGGTTTAGCTGTTTTCTTACAAAGTCTTGCTTTGGATACCACCATCACTTGTTGTTTGATTGTGTTTAGGATAGCATTATTTTGTGGTTGTTATTATTTCCTTATTAGTAGTTGTTTTGTTTCTCCACTGTCATTTCCTCCTTTTTTATTATTATGATTTGTTATACTTGAATTGATGGTCGTTTGAAAACAGTCTCCTTATTCCCATTGGTATAGATGTATTTTTCTATTTTTCCACCTAGTGATATAGATTTTTCGTAATCGTAATAATCTTTTTCTACCTATGTCCCATCTGAATTTGTGACTTAAACAATGGTCCTATGGCAATGGCATTTGGGCCCTTGAACTTGGTCTCTCTAACTGCAAAAAGCTTTCTATCTGTATGTTACTGGCTTTTTTTATGTTTAGATCCATCCTCTTTTCTCTTTTATATTTGTTGTAATTTATTTTCTTTCAGAGCTATGGTATTTTAGTTCCATATATATTAGTAGCTCAGTTTTATTTGTGAGGGAAAAAAATGTTCATGTCATAACCAGATCTCTTTGCATTGTCAAGGCTATAAGTAAATTAGTTGCAAAAACAGAATGGTATAGTGCTGCTGAAGAAATAAGATGCAGATTTTGAAGTAAAAGACAATTGCTATAGAGCTAGAAATTTTGATCCATTTGTTCTTCTATTCTTGTTTTTAGCTTATTTTGAGTAAGCGATACATTTGATGTCTAGCACAAATCTGTAGTTCTCTATTCTTCTTTCTGCTTTCTTCCTACTGTTTCATTTTGACTTTGACATAATATTATGCATGACTTGTTCGCTCAATTCCCTGATGATGAGGTTGAAGTTGTTCTCTTGTATTTGTATTGTTAGGTGGCTGTTCGATGAAGTTTCACTAGGATATATCGTTCGTTAACAACATTTTATTGTTAATTCGGTCTTTTGATGGGCTGCTTTCACTCAAAAATCTGCCGATTCAGTACCCCTGGTTATGAGGAACCAACACTGCTTGCTGCTGAGACAGCTTGTGAGTATATATGCATATCCTTACCAAATTGGTTTTTTGTTTCGTTCAGTTGTCTTTATTTCTGCTTTTTCCCCACCCTCAAGTTCTGGATCTTAGAAGTCATTCAGACACCAATAGGGCCTATTGCTGAAGGAAAATACTAGAGGGTAATAAATGAATATGATATTTTTTTCTACACAGCAAGAAGATCTCAAACTTCTTTAGTGCATATGGATGATGTTATAGAATTGTTCACATCTGTATTATAAGAGAAGAATATGAAGGAACAGCAGAATGGTATATGATTGAGCTTCAGAATGAAAATTTCCTCCTCGATCTAGCTAGATCATAGTACGAGTAACCAAATAACCGAAATTTTTCCATATCCTGAACCAATGATATAGTCGAGGGTAGTGGTACTCAACAAAAAGCCTCTAAATTGTTTCCTGACTAAATTTTATATTATGAATGTGACGACGGAACTAGTAGTTCAGTGTTCTGGCCTCCACTGCAGCATGTAAGTAAACAAGTGCTATAAACATGTAAGGAGTTATGATTGCCAGCAAGTTATGGTCTGCTTTTATTTAATCCCAAACAGCCAATTAATCATTCTGGTCAACGGTTTATATATTGCAGTTACGGTGAGTGAAGTTGAAGCATTATATGAGCTGTTCAAGAAAATAAGCAGCTCTATAATTGATGATGGACTAATTCACAAGGTATAATTTCTCTACTACTTGAATAACCATTAAGCCATATATCATTATGTGTTCTTGGAGTCCCACATTTATAATTTACTAGTATTGAGTTCGTTGATTACACGTAGAATATGTTATAGAGTTACCTATTAACTTCTGTGCCACACCATCATCAGGAAGAATTTCAGCTGGCAATTTTCAAGAACCAAAACAGGAAAGATCTTTTCTCAGACAGGGTATGTTTTGTTGATTCACTTTTTCTTTGAAATGGATTCTCCTTATTACTGATTAAGCATTACAACTCTTGTGCTTTGAATCTATCATTTCTGATTCATTTGAAGAACCGACCATTTGTCTGGCTTTAGTCTGACTTATACTTGCTGAGTTTTTCTTTCCCTCTTTTCCTGCAATCATGCAGATTTTTGATCTATTTGATTTCAAGTGCAACGGAGTGATTGAATTTGGAGAATTTGTCAGATCATTGAGCGTGTTCCACCCAAATGCACCAGTAGCCGATAAAATTGCATGTAGATGGCTTATACTCACTATCTACAGCTTTAGAATTCTAAACATGATCTTTTTAACCTCTTCTGCAACATTATTAATGTGTACATACGGTGGATTCTTTCTGCAGTTGCATTCCGAATATATGATCTAAGGCAGACTGGGTATATTGAAAGAGAAGAGGTAGGTGTTGCAATCGCACTTATACTGGTTTACTCTATGCTCCCTTGTCATGAACATTAGTCATATTCGCTGCTTGCTTGGTTTTAATTGCAGCTCCAAGAGATGGTTTTGGCGCTGCTGAATGAGTCAGACTTGATTCTTTCGGATGATATAGTTGAAATGATTGTAGATAAGGTTGACTCCTCGACTCCATGATCGTCTGCTAATATGTTTAATTATGTGCCTTTTTGTTGTTCATATTGACTATCTACTTTTATCTCGTGCATCAGACATTTGATGAAGCAGATAAAAAGAGTGACGGAAAGATAGATCAAGAAGAGTGGAAGGAGTTTGTTTCAAAGAATCCCTCTCTTCTAAAGAATATGACCCTTCCATATCTCAAGTAAGTTATAACATCGAGCTGCATTAATGTTCGTTAATGCAGCTTGAATATTTGCATTTATCTTTTTCCCCTTCCTCTGGAAATGTTAAAAAATGAAGCGCATTGGCCTTAAATCTACTATCAATTTGTGTACTATAAAGCAACTTTGAGTGTTGTTTGTTACCTTTTATTATAGGGATATAACTTTAGCATTTCCTAGCTTTGTGATGAACTCTGAGGTGGAAGATTCGGAAGTCTAGACTCATGCTTTTAGCATATAACACGCGTAGTTGAAGGTCCATATATCGTATCAAGTAATCTCTTCCAAACTAGTGATGCAACAGAAATGCAAAAGAGTCGAGATGAATCAGATTTTGCATTGAAATTTTGGAAGTTGGCTTCACAAGATTGAACTTAAGAGGCATGCAGAAAATCAGTTCTTTTGCCAGCTCCAATTGGCATTAGCAAGATGTACTACTTTTAATGTATCTAACTAGTCTGTTGGTGTTAGAAAGCAAGGTAATATTGTTCATATTTCAAATTAAAGTCGAAGTTTTGTTCAAATGTAATAAACAAACATGAATTTCAATTTTGAAATCCAAATTGCATGGTCAAACGGGCTCTGTAGTTCATCAAAATCCTGTCGCTCTAGACGAAACTTTTGACAAGGATTGTTCAAGGACTTTTTCTCACTTCTCATGTACTTGGAAGCTCTATGCCTATATAATGTATAATCTTTGAGAAACATCATTTTCTGTTATGAAGATGCTATTTTTTTGGTCAATTAATAAAAATGTAAAAGCTTTGTTATATCTAGTAATGTTGATTTACTGAAAATTATAAGTTTGTTGATGTTTTGAGAATAAAATTTATAATACTACATTTAGAAACTAAACCAAAAGATGTAGTACTACAGTAAAATTAGTGTCACTTGTAAGAAATCTTCAAGATAATAATGGAATAAAAATGTTGCTTGACTATATATAAAGAGGCTTTTTGTTTTTGCTTTCCTCTATATCTATATTTTTTATTCCTTAAATTTATTTCTCCAAAATCTCCTTCGTTTTACCGTTGTTCTAGGGATGTCAATTGAGGCGGGATGGGGTGGGACAATATTATTCTTTTGAAAAATGCTAAACGGGACAGGATAGAATGGGTCAAAATCTTAACAGGTTAAGACTTGCCTTGTCCTGGATGGACGGTTAAACTTTGAAGTGAAATAAAATAAATTCATTCCAAATCAACCTTATAAACTTTTAATAACTAGTTTTGATGCACGTGCGTGCGTTGCACGTGAATATCAAATCAAATAAATTGGAAACTGATGAGTACCTATTAAATCTAGTTAGGACTTCAGACCAATTTTTGATCAAATCATTTTTTTGAACAACTTGAGACTTTGCACAACGTGAACACCAAGTTATAGTTTGTGTAACAGAAAATCATTTAACTTCTAGTCAAGTTGAAGTTGCTGCAAAAGTATATTTATGACTATAAAAATGAGAACATATTAATTATCAAGATAGTCTTCTAGTTTGAGGTTGAGTATTTCTATTCTCCTTGTGGCATCAATTTTTGTTGATCTATCTAGTTTACCCACAAAATAATTATAATTGCATAATTGAACAACTCTCACAATTCTTCTTGTTTAAGAAGACGAATAGAAAACTTACAAAATTTGTAGCTTAAAAGTGTGAGAAAACCTGTTTATTTATACACAATAAGGGATAGTATGAAAAGGTGTTTATCGTGCTTTATCAGATAAGTCACGACTCTTCAAAAAAATCATAACTCATCAAAGAAGTCACAAACCTTCGAAAATGTTACTACCCATTAATGTTAAAAGGTGTATGCTTTTAAGTTGGGGGTATTATAGTAATTTAACATTCAAGTTAGAAGTTCGTGCTTTTAAGGTAGTATAGATATAGATAGATATAGATAAATGCACAAACCATTTTCGGATGGGGCATTCCGCCATAATATGAACCTTTAATTTAGGTAGGATTGAGATCACCAACTTAGTATAATTTTATGATGACAATTAAAATTTGTTTGCTACCAATCTCAATGACTACAAAGTAAAATCCAAAAAAAGCTTTATAGCCAAAATTAATTTCATAACATAGTTGAGCTCTCGCCATTTATTTTTTAAAATTTCTCAATCTTCTAAAACATTTACAAAGGCAAAAAAAAAAAAAAATCATTTACAAAGGCAAAAATAATTTCTAAAATATATCCAAATATTATCAAATGAGAATTTAAAATGGAAAAATTACGCGAAATGACAAATATCTAGAGTATGTTATTTAATATAGCTATAGTTTCGATTATTTTTAATCTGTGGCTATAGTTTCGCGAAATTTCACTATTCGATTTTCTAACTGTATAAATCCAGAATTTGTATATGCTTATCGTATCTATTTGTATACGATTTATAAAAAATCTTAACAAATTACCATGTTTATTTGTATATTAACAAGCGAAATATATAAACGAAGTTCTAAAAAATTCTTAAATGTATAAATACAAAATTAGTATATAATTACCTTGTTTGTATATTTGCAAACGAAATATACAAACGGGCAAACAAAATATACAAACGCAACTTTCATTTGTATATACTTACCCAGTTTGTATATTTGTAAGCGAAATATACAAAACGCAAACTCCATAGCAAACAAAACTATAGCTACAGAGCGCAATAACCAAAACTATAACTATAAAACCTTATTATATCTATTATCTTTACTATTTCTGAAATTTACTCTTAATTCAAAAGTATTTAGTAAGTACTACTTAAAATCATTTGACTTTTAAAAACATAAATATCAATGAAAATAAATAATCCAAAATCAACTACTTTAATACAATATTTCATCAAATTATTTAATTGATTTGATTCAATTTTTCAATTTGAATAGATTTTTACCTAAATCGTTAACCCCTTAATTGCAACGTTGGATTCATAAATGACAAGTGTATTGTAATCAACAAAACCAATCATGCACCGCAAAGAAAAACTTGCCCAACGCGCCCACGTTACCCCACGCTCCTCTGTATAAAACATTTTTTTGCAGTCAATTTTAAGTTTCCTCGAAATCTGAAGAATCCAACAATATTGTTTTGGACCCAACAATCTCAGATTCTATTTTTCAGAAAAAATTAAAAATTTCTAATTGAAACTAAAACCCAAATTTATAAATCCGAATCTTGCCCATTGAATCTGTAAAGTTGCCGATTGGATTTCCACTTTCAGGCATGTTCATTCAATCTCTTAATCACTTATTACAGATTGGGATTCATCAATCCCCTTTAGTTTTTTTTTTTTGCCTTTTTTCTATGCTTTTTGATTGTTTTATAATCCTTGTTTACTCTATTTGAAGTGAAGAGTTTGGTGGTAGTGTAAAGATTGAAACTTTATTTGGTTTTGTTTTAAATTCTTGAAGTGAAGAGTTTGGTGGTAGTGTAAAGATTGCAGCTTTATTTGGTTTTGTCTTAGAATCTTGGTTTATTGGTAATTGGACTAGTGGCCCAGTGTTTTGTCTTAGAATCTTGTTTTAGTTCATTATTTGGTTTATTTCACTAGTGGCTGTTTTCTATGTTCTTGTTTTAGTTCTTTTGGTTTATTTTCTTGTTGTTAGAACGTATAAGAAGTAATTTGGCGAAGAACTGGTAGCATTAGATTGAATTGATATCCTGTTTTGTGCAGAATTGTGAGATTGATTGGATCAATGTGTGAACTGTGGATGACCTAATCTGTAATGCAATCAATAAATTCGGGTGAAAAGAAGTGTTTGAAACGTTCGAGATCATTTTCAAGTGAGATGCCGGGGACTGATACGAATGTTGCAAAGCCTTTAGAGGATTGCATCCTGTTTCCTGTTGAAGATATAGTGCAGTATCCTCTGCCTGGTTGTGGTTCACCAACGTCTATAGGTTTTAGTCCAGATGATAGTTTAGTTACATATTTATATAGTCCAAACCAAAATCTATGTAGAAAGGTTTTTGTATTGGATCTCAAGAATGGAAGGCATGAATTGTTCTTTAGTCCACCAGATGGTGGACTCGATGAGAATAACTTATCTGCTGAAGAGAAGCTTAGAAGGGAAAGGTCAAGGGAACGTGGTTTAGGGGTAACACGATATGAGTGGGTTAAGGCAAGCGCCAGACGGAAGGTCATTATGGTACCACTACCTGCTGGAGTAAGTTATCTTTTCTCATGTAAGTTTTAGTGCTCACTTTCTATTTAATGCTATCCCTATTGTTCAACTGAACTATAATCTCCTGAACTACTTGTTGATGCAATTGGTAATTAAAGTATAAAAAAAAGCTGTTGTCTGCCAGTTGTGAAATTCTCTCATTTTTTTCTATTCCGAAACCTTACAATGCTGGGTATTCTGCACCAGGACAACCCCCTGATTCTCTTTTTTTTCTGGAAAATACTAATATACATGCACAACCTCACTACTGACATGTATTTTATAGGAGTAATCATTTAGTGGTAAAGGCCTTCTTTTGGGTTAAAAAAAAAAATTAAATTGTGAAAAATTAGAACAGTCTTATCTGAGATAGTGGCAGTTTGTTTATCTATACTAGTCCGCTGGATATATTGTCCTTCTTTTGGCCTTTGTAGTCCTCAAATATTTGAGTTTTGATTAACACATTCTTATTCTCTGCACTCTGTTCCATCTGCAAAAAGAAATCCTTCTCTGGACTGCTTGGGAGAAGATCGTAATAATTTCTTTTCATGAAAAAATCTGTTCTTTACCTAAAATCCTGTATATATCTGTACCATATCATTTTTGTGGGGGTCCAAACTGATTCTTTGAGTTTGTTTCTCCAATTATCAGATCTAATCAGAGTTTACTTTATACGTAAAACAGTTATACTTGAAGGATCAGAATGCAGAACCAGAACTTAAGATAGCAAGTACATCCTCCTCGCCAGTCTTGGATCCACATATTTCACCTGATGGTACCAAGCTTGCCTATGTGAGAGATAATGAGTTGCATGTGTTAAACCTTTTGTACCATGAATCTAAGCAGTTAACAACAGGCGCCGATGACAGTGTTATAGTAAGGACTTGTTCAAGATACTTATTACTGATATATCTGTTTTATCTATTGCTATGAGTACTTAACGAAGTATATTGCTCCCCGCATGTAATGTGCATCATATGCCATAGTTTTAATGCTAATTTTATGCCTTGTCATCCTCTCCTCTTGTCATATTATTTGGTAGCTCAAGTAGAAACTTTGTGCAGTGATCAATTTTTTTGGTCCATCTTGTTGACCTCGATACTTGGTCATATAGTTTTACGGTTTTATCCACTACAAAGATTATCAAATGAAATGTAATTACAATTGAAACAATAAAAAATGAAATGCGAGTTAATATATGCTCTAAGTTTGAAAATATCATTGAAAAGTAACTATTATGCCCTTTTCTGACGAATCGTATAGTTTTACAATTTCATCGACTAAAAAGGTTATCAAATGAATTGTAATTACAATTGAAACGATCGAAAAGGAAATGTGAGTTAATATATGCTCTAAGGTTGAAAATATCATAAAAAATCTTAAAAAAGAAGAGTCCCTTAATTACATAATTCTAAAA